ACATGGCGGCCTAGAGAACTCCACAACCGAAAATAAAGGAAAATAAATAACAGAGCCACTGCACAATGCCTAGCCTGTATTCATTTCCAAACAAAGACAAAAACACACCGAACAAAAAAAGACAACAAATCGAAAAAACAACACACATTACAAACACACTGAAGAATTAAAAAACGACCCTCCCCCGGAGAAACAACGAAGCCGAAGAAACAGCTACAACTGACCAAAGGATGGGCCCCTAGCCAAGCCCCAACCCCCGAAACTGCCGTAGGCCTAACAAGAGGCAGGGCCCCGCCCCCGAACCCAACCAAAGGACAGCACTCACTGACCGAGGAGAACAGGCTCAGCCACCCCAACCAGCATAACCCTAACTAGGCTAACACCACTAGCCCATGTCAAGAAAACTGGATCCTACGCAACCCATACCGAGCTGCACCAGGATAGTTGCTACCTGCCCGAACTCCAACTCCGGCAACCCCCACTTGAGACACACGGCAGCCACCAGAGCCCCACCCAACCACCACCGTCGCCGACCCGCTTCCACAACCGCAAACTCACCATCGCCCTCTCGCCACATCAGCCAACTACTCAGCAGGGATCCGACCCCCGGCTAAGCAGTCCAAACCACACCCACCCTCAGCACCACCAACCCTACACCCAAACGGGCCGAAACAGGCCCTGACAGACAGCCCCGACGGAGAAATCGCAGGGACCCAAGTCGAACCCTAACCCCCAAATTCACCAATTACCCAATCCACCAAACAGAGCCAAATCAAGTTAGGGAAACTAACCTACAGCCACCCAATCGCGACGAGCAGAAGACGCCGGATTACGAGCTGGAACCGCCGCAGATCCCCAACCCACCGCCAGACGGGAGAGACGAAGACGAAGAGAATGCTATGTCTGCTAAACCGAGGAAAAACAACGGCAATGGAGGAAAGGGCGGCCAGCGACGGCCGCAGAAACGGCGTCGCCGTCGCCGGAAGAGGCCAAAACAGTCGAAAGGAGCGGAGCTTTTTGGATTGAGAAAGTCGGATATCGGAGGGGAAAGAAAAAAAATTGAGCGGATTGTACGTAAGGCAAATAATACACAATATTTTTACATCAATTAATACACCAATTAGAATTAGTATTTACAAATTCTCTTTGATTTACAAATCCGCGAGGCAATAAAATCACAAATGCGGTTGATATCATTAATAATATTTAAAAAATAAAAGAAAGACTACCAATAATTCAAGACATGCGTAATACGATTTTACTCACAATAAATTAAAATTAATACCATATACAACATTAAAATGAATTTGAGTTCATATTATATACCATTTTTTTTTTGTGATTTTTTGAATCTACGCTATTTTATTTTATTTTTTTGAATCAACATTAAACAATTTTTTTCTGATTTTTTTTTTTTTGAGTTTAGATAACTACAAAATTCAAAAACCAAAGCAGATTAAGCAAAACTTAAAATGATAATATGATAAGCCTAATCATTTTGGCTTAAAATGAAATCAAACAATTATCCAACTATATATAATAATATTTTAATTCTTAAAATTTATTTAAAATTCCAACTGTTATTTGCTTTAAGTTTATTATAGATCGCAACTATTATTTGCTTACTATATATATTTAAAATCTAAAATAGGTTGGATCGGGTTTAAGGTGATAAGCACGATCTTTTTTGTTGTTGAAAATCAAACAAGAGGTATACTATTTTAGGTATAAAATCTTATTTCATTTGATAAGCTCAATCAAATTTGGTTATGATCGAATTAAATAATTTTGAATAATATTAAATTGATCGATTACTATTAAATTAATTCTATTTGATTTTCACATTTAAAATTTTCGAAAACACTATTTTATTTTTTACTTTTTGTGGAAAATGACGGCTGGATGAAAAGCGAATTCAAATTAAAAAAATTGTTATTTTGAAAAAGATATTGTGTAAACCTTAATTCATAAAAATATGGTCAATAATATCTTTAAATACAACAGGTAAATCTGGTCAATAATGAAAAAGAATATTGAATATCTTACTTCTGAAAAGTCTGATCAATCATTTTTTTAATTTTTTCCGGTAAATCTGGCCAATAATGAGAAAGAATATTGAAAATCTTGCTTCTGAAAAGTCTGATCAATCAATTTTTTTTTTCCAGTCAAACATATAAATTTGGTTACAAATTAAAATTCCGGTTAACCATTTAACGAATAAAACGTTTGAAATTTTTTGAAAACTTTCGAAAAGTCATGCCAACTTAATTGATAAATATTGTTTTATCTGTATTCATCTATCTACACATCTCATATTTTATGATCAAAACAAAAAATTTGTATTTATTTAATAAACAACGTTAATTTCATAAATTATTTTTTATATTTAGATAGTTCAACTTAATTGATGTTTTTTTGTCAATATTTACTTAACTACAAAATATTTTAAAGTTTAGAAAGAATCTCATTTTATGTGGGTTCTTGGTACTTTTTTTTTGTACATATTCATTTTTCATCTCATATCCAAATATAAATTTTAATGCGGATCTTAAATATATCATTTTTATTAGAAATATATTTATTTTTTAAAAAAGTATGACGATCATATAATTAATTTTATCATATGTCATATGTTGGATGTTATTAGTTTGGTTGGGGACACTCATTATATTCAAATAAATGATATATAAATTTTAATATTTGGTATTTCTTTTCATACAATAATGAGATATTAAACATAAATAATTATGTTTAATATAAAGTTTTAGAAAAAGTTTTAAGTAAAAAACTCGTCCGTGCATCGCACGGGATACACACTAGTTAATATATAAAGAGCTAACCTAAATAATCCTAAAATAGTAACTAAAAAATAAGGTGAAATCCCGCCAAAAAAATAACTAAAAAGGTAACTTTTTTTGAAATTTTTGCAATTGCTGCCTGTCATTGGATAGTTTGATTTTTTTTTATTTTTTTTTTGACAAATTTGAAAAGTTTTAAGTCAGGAATTCCATTCCTGATTTTTATCTAAAAAAATTGATGTAGGACTCTACATCACAACCGAAGGTGTTGAGATAGTTGCATGGTTATTTATTTCGGTGATAATTACTAAAAATATTTGATGTGATTTGAGATTATCATTTTAGGAAAAGGAACTTTCAAAAGTCGGATAAATATGATGGATTTATCTGAAATAGTAACTAAAATTCTGCCTACAAATTTTATTTTGCCCTTTATTAGTAATTTTTTTAAATATTTTTGAAAAATGGCAGGTGAAATTCAAGTTAAAAAAATCAACGTAATTAATGTACATAATTATTCTGGTCAAATATGACGACTGTTACCATTCAAATGATGCAAATATTTTAGGTAAATATTATTTCATTTGAATTCTGATTAGATACAAATTATTTTCTTAAAATACCAAGTGGAAAATAAATGATCTAGTATTATGTTTGGATTAAATAAACATGCCTTATGGAACTTGGTCATTTAACATTCATGTCTCATGCATCGCACAAGCTATGTACTAGTTGGTAACGATAACTCAAAATTGTAAAAAGTTGAATTACCCATTTACATTTTATGCAATGAATTCATGATCAAACTTTTAAATAAATTCATGATCAAAATTGTAAAAAGTTGATTTAAACTGTTAAATAATGAGCTTGTAGTTTAAGTCGAAACACTCATTTCATATAAAAATGTATTTACTATAAATATAAATATAGATAGATGTACTATCAAATTTTACAAACTCCGAATCCGTATCACCCTCAATCTTTTAAACAAATAAAACAAAAAAACAAGATTTCTTGTATTTATAATTAAGTTCAACATCTATAATTTATTGAAAAATAAGGTTTTTGGTTGAAAATTTGATTTAAATTGAACTTTTGCACCATATTGCTTAGCATTTCTGTTGATGAGAGCTTATCAAATGAACATTTTTTTAAGAAAAAAATAAATAAAGTTAATAATATGTGATTATACAAAAAAAAGTAAAAAACAATATTAAAAAATATAACAATCCAACTAAATACTCGATTTTATAAATAACTAAATCGATTTACAATTAAGAGAGCGAATGGGTAAATCATTATAAACTCAAAAGCTTATCCAGAAATTAAAATATAAAAAATGTTAGTACATTTTTCAATATATAAATGATAATATTATTTAAATAAAAATAGCACATGCAATAAGTTTTAATAGCACATGCAGTAAATTTCAATTATTAATATATTGTAAATAATTTCTCATATTTCAATACATGTTTTAAAGTATTATATATATATATAGAGAGAGAGAGAAAGGATCATATGAGAATAA